AAGAAATGAAAATGAAATTGGCTTTGAGATTGAGATTTCGTAATTATGTGGCGATTAATTACATTGCATTGAATGAATTGAGTGCAAGAGTTAATTTTTCGTAAATGTTCCCTGTTAAATATTCATCAAGTTACATAAAATCCATGTCAGCATTATCGTCTTCAGCATATGGTTGGTTTGGTGTATTTTATTTGTTCATGTGACATTGAATTCGATACACATGCCAAACGCGAATGATTAACCAAACAGAAAAATGAGCTTGTGCCACATCAAAAGAAGCGAAACTGGGAGAGAAAAGAGTAGCGGCGACATTGTTCAAATGTGGTTTCATTGTGCATCGATTGCGCGTCTTTCAAAGATTATCCATTCTTGTGGTGCACGAGTAAAAGAATTTTATATGCGATTGTTGTTAATGGTGCGGTGCAACGATGATAGTAAAGAATCGAAATGAACTTAATTGGGCATGTATTGAATACAGATTTGTTCTACTCGATTGAGCGGAAATGTACTTTAAGCATTCGCTTCAATCTTCAATGTAAACTTATTGTCAAGCGTATTGGTTTGTGTGTGTGTTCGCGCGTGTGTAAGACATGATGATATGAAGACTTATCAGCTTTATTCCACAAAGTCAATAGACGAGCGCGAAGGCATTTTGAATACATCATGGCCATGAGATGTGGTAAAATGGCTCATCCTTATGCACTACATCCTTTTCGTTTCTTATTAAATACATATTCATGTATTCGAAAAGTGATGTGTAAACGGAATCATAGATCAAGAATTTTTGGTTCTGCACCAACATAACAAAAAAATACATACACAATAACAATAAACTACATAAAAGACAGATACACGCAGACACCGTATCCAAAGACAAAAAAAGAGAAAAGAATCTATTTGGTGGATTGTACTTAAAAATTGGCCACGCGACATTTCGAGGTTATCAATTCAATGATGTTGAGTTAAAGAAAATTGCCTTCGATACATATTTGCCGACCCGCTAAAAAAGTTGACCATTTTTTGATGAATTATTTATGAACACCGAACGACAGTGTCGATTTATGTTATGCAATAATAATTGGCGAATGATGGCAAACATACAAATATACATCGTATATTTATTCATTCTCTTTCATGTCACTTACATTCGGTGTGTCGGTTCACTTATCTCTTTTTATCATTTGGTCGTATTCATCTTGAATGGCGATGACGGTGATGGTTTAAAACGTGCTTCAAGCTGAAGGTAAATAGTGTCAACCATTGAATTGGTGAAATTATAGTAATGCAATTAACCGAATTCGTTTATTATGGACTTGCAAATGTTTACATCCCAATGATGTATTTTTTACCATCATTGTCACGCAATTTATGGATTCGGTTTGTGTTGTGAGTGTTTTTTTCACTCTCTCAAGATTTATAAGCAAACAAGTCGGCTTTTCAAGTTTTATTTTCAAGATTTCTCTGAATAGTGAATTGTACGCTGACGCATGTAAATTGTTGCAATACCTTCATCGGACAAGCACTAAAAGATGTAAACAATAAGAAAATATATAATCATAAGAAACCCCAACGAAGCACAACATAAATTACTCTACCTCTCTCAATTGGTATTGACGCGTTTATTCTAGACATTATTTATTGGTGTTATTCCCATTTCGAAATGACTCGTTTTCATTATCACGTGTTTTGTTTCTTAAACACATCTCTCATTCGTTCATTATGTTTTAGCAAAGCAAATCGAGTAACCGCTATGATGCGATGACAACCACGACAATGCCAACACCATCAACGATGGTTTATGGATAGTCATTTAATGTGCGCTATATTTATATGCTCAAGTAGATCTCGAAGAATGTATTTCTCTCTCCCTATCTCCAAATTCTTTGAAATCAATGGCAATTAATCAGTTCATTTTGTGTTTTTGGTGGCAATAAATTGAGATTGTGTTTTCAGTGGCGAATCAAGTGCAAATTTAGTGTTCATGAATGTCGGCATAAATTCGATGCGACTTTTGTTGTCGATTCAATTTTTGATAAAATAATACAATCATAATAATTGCCATTTTTGTCAGTTGATTTACATTTTATCGTTTATTTCGACTGAGGAATTGTATTCTTATGAGAAATGACCGCGAACATTTCAGCTGATTATTTTTTTGATGATTTTCATTTTTATTCCATAGAAAATGTGTGGCCGGTATCAAAAGGTAATTTCTTTTTAGAATGAACCTTTTACTTTATGGTAGAATTGATTTCAATCAGCATTATCAGTGTACTTTTTGACATACTGAAATAAATAAAAAAAAGAAAAAGAAAATTATGTTTTTTTCATGTCGATGTAGAAAACCTTTAATTTTTGGCCGCTGGGTACTTCACGAAAAGGTGTCTTTGAAGCGGTATTCATTCGGATTTTTTTCTCCGATAACTGGATGTGCTATAAAAAAAAATGTTTCAGATGAAAAAATCGCGGAGAATTGCATCATGCCACAGAATCACATATCTGGCTTATGTTTTTTTTTGTGGAAGACCTTCGTCCGACAAAATGAAAAATTAAAATTTGGTATTAAAATACGAAGCGACATTAACTTGTTGCCATTTTTCAATTAAATAACAGTCATGTATTTTGAAAAGTGATAAGCTGATTGAATTCGATTGAAAAGCGAAAAATACCATCACCGCAAGAATTCAAAATGAAATGTTGATGTTTCATAACATTTATGCGCAAAATTTGCTCTAATTTTTTTTTTTGCTCAATTTCTCAGTTCACTCGGTCGTCCTTGCAAGACTTATTTTCGAATTGGGTTGAGTATTTTTGGGTATTTTAGTCAAAACAATTTCGTCAAATCAAAGGAATTTGAATTGTATCCCATAGAAACATAAATCAATTATTTCGGTTTGTTTTACATTCGGAATAAATGCTTTTGTGTGACTTATTTCAACCCACGTAATAGCAAAAATGATTATGATTTGCCATTGTTTATTTTAACGTGGCAATTCTTAATGGTGCACAAAACGTAACGTGTAAGAGACTTTCCATCCTTCGCATTCACATCAAGCAACAAATATATTAAATGAAATTGTAAATATTAAATCGGTGAAATTACTTATACTCAGGCGTGCTATTAATTTATCCCGTAACGCATGTATTCTACGGTTTTAAATATGAACATGGAATGATATATTTCTCTCTCCACCCATTTAAATCAAATGTCTGCAGCGAATCAGACGCTTAATGGAAAAGAGCAAACAGTGATAGAGAGAGTGAGATACGCAGATAGTGAGAGAGAGAGAGGGCGTGCGATTGCGAGAACACAAAAAATCAGATCAACTGCGATTAAAAACAGAATTTGTGCACAGTCATATACCCAACACGATCCAGCTCATTTTTTTGTTTGTTTGCTTGCTTGATTTGTTGTGCTGTGATGTATGGCCATCAACCAATTGTTTATTTGATTCGATACCTTCGCTACAATTCATTTCACTGGACATTGTGTGATCACTACTCTTATTGTTATTGGATATTGCTGCTTTAATTGATGTGTTCATATGAATTACTTTGCTACTCTTTCGCATATTTTGTTTTGTATTCATTGCATGACCCAATTTGCTACACAACAAAATACAGCACACAAGAAAAAAAAACTGGTCAAGTGATAAATGTCTTCCAGTGTAAAAAAAATTTTTTTTTCTTCATAAATATACATTTAATCACCATAGCCAAACCTCGTCAATGGTTGAGAATAAATGAAAATTTGCAATTTTTACAACAGTTACATGTCAATCAATCAGTCATATTCAAAGTTGCTCTTATTTATTTATTTTTTCTTCGGTTTATAACTCTCCACATAAATGCATGTGAAGCAAATGAACTTTGCGTGTCATGAACTTTGTGGCGTATTATTTTTGCATCGCATTTTACTGATTGGTTTGGTCATCGATAAAAATTTTGTTTAATTTATAAAATGCATTACCAGTCACCGAGCGATTTGATTGGAACAAAAAAGATATATTCAAAAACCACGTCAATTTTCTTTATCTGATTTTCGTAAAAGTTTTTGGGTTCAGGTGAAATGTTTCATATTCTAACACGGATTGTCGTGTCGTAATGAAACATTGATTATTGTCGACTGTTTTTTGGTCTGACGCCTTTTATTTTATTTTAATTTGATCATCGGTGCCACTCGAAATTTCTTTTTTTTATCAAAAAAAAAACAGCCATATTTCTGGTAAATGAGAAAGAGAGAGAGAGAATGTCAAAACCACACAATATTTGTGTGAAGCAAAATTTAAAGCATGAAATAAAAACTTCCGTTGCGACAATGTCAACGATAAGTTCGGTGTGCGATAATTTAGCCCATCGATGGCAATGATTCCATACAATTTGTATCTATGAAAAAAGAAGCGGACAAAAATATAATTTTGACATTGAAACGGAAAAAAATGGGATGCATGAGAAAAGTAGAATACACAATATCCGCAAGTCTTAAAATGTTAATTACATCGATTATAATGACGACCGACAAGCATCTGTCGCATTTATTCATGATGTTTCAGCAGACATGGTCGCATTCTTGTTTACCAGAAGCCACGATGAATTTATTTTCTTCCCAAATATAAATAGCGCTTTAAGTTTATCGAATGTGACTAATGGAAGTTTTCCAAATATTCAGCATATGGGTGAAACACGATTTTTGCAAAATGCTAAGAAGATGTTTCCGAAGCGGCTAGTTTTACTGATTTAATGGATGTATTAATGGATTGTCGTCAATTTCTTAAATAATGTGTAAATCGATTTATAATTAATTATTTCCCATCCAGAAAGCCACACAGATTTGAATGGCAGAAGCGCGTAGGTGGTACTGCATCGATGATAACATATTTTGATTAATCATTTTGGTTGTGGTGTTGGTTTTTTTTAAATTAATTGATTCCATTTAAAGAGTATTTCAAACTTTGTCAAGATGTGATACAAAAGAAATTCCTAATAAATATCGTACGTACCTGTCAATGGATACAGCACATAAACTATAAACAGAAGCAGCAACAGATACTCCTTGTATGTACGGTACAACTTTGCACATTATATTACCAAGAATCCATGCTGAAATTTGGGAGAAAAGAAATTATCAAAATAATGATCATCGTAATCAGTCGAAAAATTGGACGATATTTATAAATCTACAAAAAATCTTCTCTCCTGTTATCATGAGTAAATCTACAACATATTTAAGCACTAAATTAAATTAGCATAATGACATTTTTACCAATTCGAATAATTAGGTTATATTGCGCATTTTTCTTTGTATAAATGGAAACATTCAGATAATAATATATCCGTTTGCGGAGAGAATTATTATTATTTTTTATTAAAATGAGTTATATTCCAAATCATTGTAATACCATTGCACGCGTTCAATGTATAATGTACATCTCTTTTTTACACAGAAAGAAACATAACAACAAAAAAAGAATGTGTGTGTTTATGTCTCAAATGCAAATGACACCAATTATGTAGACATTTATTTGCGTTTTTTCTACAACGCTTTTTTGCTTCATTTTTCATCACATAATACGTATTTTGAAGCGAGCAAATAATATAAAGTGTTTAAATGCAATGGAAGAAAGAAAAAGATATAAAATGGGAAAGAGAGCGTGCGAAGGCGAATCCATACGTACTCAAAATAATATAATACACCATTATTTCAAGTGGCTATTATGTCAATCTCTAAAATAAATAATTTACTCGTCTCATATAAAATGATGACAGCGGATTTTATCTTTGGAGAAGCTGCAACCATGGAAACATTTTGTATTGACCAAAGACCTGCCATTTATTTAAATGTACTTCGGTATAGAACAACAACAAAAAACAGAAACAAAAAACGTAGAAAAAGCAAAGCTTACGACACAAAGTCGTAATCGTTCATATTTCAGACATGTTATGTATTGTATTTTAGAGTTTTGTCGCGTATCATTTTGTATTTGGTTGATGACAGAGTAATGCTTCTTTATTTCTTCTATGGATTGATAATTTGGAGGCCAGGTGAAAAACGTTTTGAGTCAATGTTACGTTTTGCTTTCTGTTTCCAATCGATTTAGTCTGCGTTTTATGTTTACAAAAGCGTCGCAATTTTTTTTTTATCGTATTACAACAGAAATCCTTTATCGTATTTATATACGTTTATGAATTCGAAAATAAATATTGAATAAAATTGAATTGATTACATTTTCACCACTCAATGCAAATGGTAGCCAATTGAAATATTCATGCCATTGCTAACACAATACAAAATTATCTGCTACTTTTTCCACATATTTTCAATGAAATAACCACCAATTACTTTATGATTATCATAGTATCGATCATGGTTCGTGAAAAATAAAACCGTTCTGATTCTTTCAGAATATTTTTGAATTTCATAGCCATTTTGAAGAAGGTCATATAAATTTTTCTTTTAAATTCTCTTATTATAAGAACACATTTTGAACATTGACAATCACAATTTCAATATGTGTAAATGATGAAAAATTATGAAGAGGCGCACACGTATACTCCCGTTATCGAACTTCGAACTCATGGTCAGGTTAAATCAAGTGCTTTATAATTAGAGTTTCTTAAATAGACATTCATTCAAAACATGATATATCAATCGATGACCCAATTAAAGAATCAAAAGACAAAGAGAGAAATGGAAAAAAAAATTATTCTTAAAATCTGCACAGATCATACACCAATAAATTATGGCTCATTCATTTCGATAATACATAAGAAGAAAGTGCGTGAAGTGACTATAAACTATTATAGTTTTTTTTTTAATTGAATGTATGATACATACATTATGTATAATTCCGTTTGGTTCAAATGCCATGGGGCGCCTGGACAAACTCATTGAAGAGGTAAAGAGGGAATTTTAATGTTGTATCTAGTTATAGGAGGAAAAGAAGATAGAACGGCGGCCAAAAAGCTTTTTCATGGTGATTTTGACCTAATTTTGGTTCATCTCTCTCTCTCTCGCTCGCTCTCATCCACTTTCACTCGCTTTCACTTCAAAGTAAATTGAAAACGGAGAATCAACAAAGCAAGTTGCAACTTGCATGTTCTATGTAAATATCGGCGGACTAGTTTGTGTTGTTATTTTTCTTTACCTATATTTCATTGGTTACGACTGTCGTTACCGAGATTGAAACCAAAAGATGTACACAGGACAATTTATGTTGAATAATATAAATCCTTTGTACACTACATCCGCTTATTGCTATCCATCATTGAAAACACAATGTTTCCAATATCATCACAATATCGTATCATATCATTCTTCATTTGTTGTCGGTTGCAATTGATTTTTTGATAGCGATAACACATATTTTTCGAAAGAAAAAAAAGAGAAAAGAAATAACCCCCGCTCCAATATCAATTGAAAGTTTATATCGCTTCGTCGTACTATTTGTAGTTTTTATGTATACACAACATACATAGCAGCTGTGTGCCGATTCTTCGAGTATCCGAGAGTGCATTAAATTGTGAAGAATTCTAGTTCAACAGTAATGTTTAAATTAGGTTAAGTTCTTATCTTTTTAGGAGAGCAAAAAAAAGTACGCTGCTTTTTCGCAATAAAGAGAAGAAAAAAACACACGGGAGAATCAACGAGTAAGACGGAGCGAATAGCGAGAGATAAAAGTGCCTTTTTGTATGAGAAGCATAATATAGTGCACTGAAATTGGTTGTGCTTTGGATTTTAACTATGAACTTCTTCTTTGGACGATAAATATAGCGAAACTTGATTACACTGCCACATGAAACAAACACACAATGTTTCGTCCGATTTAAAAAGCATATTTTCGTCATTTTGGTCTGATGAAATCAGGGATTGTTTCTCTGAGGAGGAGGAATGGCGAGGAGGAACATTTTATTTAAACTAACTTTTTAACTTTTTGAACAAAAAAAAATTCCTCCTAGCTTGAGGTGGAGATCCTCCTCGGCGCTCTCCTTCTCCTCTTTTTCCTCCTCACCGTTCCTCCTCCTCAGAGGAACAATCCCTGGGTGAAATATAACGCAAGTCAAGTGGCTTTAACAAAATTACTTTATGAATTTAATACGATGTACGCATCCACTCCTCTTTCTCTATATTTCATGCGATACACAAACATTCACAAATGAATTAAGAACGATAACGCTTTTTTCCGCTTGATAAGGTGTCAGATAAATATGATGAAAATGAAAATGTTCTGTTCACTTCACATAGGTTTTAATTATTAATTTTGCTTTAAAAGCGAATATCATGGAAAAAAGCAGTTTGACACGAAAAAATCTTATGTTACTTTACAATAATTGTTTATGACACGTGATCATAAAGATTTTGGCGCGTATGTTGTACCAGTATTTTTTTTGATAAGACGGAACACAGAAATAAAAAAATCTAAAAATTTATTCATTTATTTAGCCAGAAAACCTAGCAGAATGTGTGTACTGTGTAAAGAAGAACTATGAACTTCTTCTTTTATATATTGTATATGTTGCAAAATAAATGACAGCGATGGAATAGACTGGTATGGCACCTGTAAATCTATAGGATATTATATTACATTAAATTTAATAAGCATAGTAACATTTTAACCGATTCAATCAAAACCACACACACACTCAAGCACATTGTCCTCTTCATTTTCCTTTTAATCAACATATTTCATTGTGATTCAACTGCACGCATTCAATCATAAACATCTTCTTTTCATTGACACATGAGGCACATAATAACAAAATCTCATTACAATAAATCAAAAAGAGACCACTTTTAATTTAAAGTACATTCAAATTATATGTCAAATCTATTGCATACAACGTATCGATTGATATTATAAAAAGATACGATTTCTTCAATCAATGAGGAACAAGTTAAAATAAATCATTTGGATCGCTAGATGTTTCATACCATTTGGCAATATTGATGGTTCAGTATTTACCGATAAGACTTTCAAAGCAATGCATATGTACAATTGTCCAATGTCTTCATCGATAAAGAAAATGCGTAATATATAGGCCACCGCTTAAAACTACGAAAGTCTTTAGATTCCGTGACAAACCCAAAAATACATTTGTAAGGAATATACGTAAATAATAATTAATAATATTGAACGGAAACCTTACAAATTTTATGGATTCGATCTAACATGCTTTTAGCGGATTCGTTGTGTATTTATTTGTGAAGAGCTATGAGGATATTTAAAGCACTAATATTCCCTAGGGAAACAGCTATATGTCTATTTTTTCCGGTATGTGTCATTAAATTGCAAGGCCTCGAAACGATTTATTATAAATGATTTGTGAAAATAAAAATATGTAAGATAAAGTATGAAATCTGGGTGAACCCCAAGTGTTATCATTAACACATCGAACGTTTTTACACATATTTTCATTATTTCGATTGGGGAAATAAATGTGCAGAAAAACGAAGGCGTCAATCAAAGCATTGGTTTCGAAATCAAATCAATGTAATGTTATGCATAGTGTTGGTTAAATGGCAGATTTGAAATGGATACATATTGAATTAATCTGATAATAATCAGTTTTACTGGAATTCTTGGTATTATCAAGTCGATTCAAGGACGATTTGCGAATGGTAAAAGTTTCGAGCTTATCGGCTTTTGTAGTAATGATAAACATTTTTAGCCCATAGTTATCAGACTTATTCCAATTCTTATCCCGTTCAATATTCCCCCTCATCACATACTGTCTCTCCATATTTCACATTCCCTAGATCTATTGCTCTACTTCTTCTTTATTTATTATTGTGTCGAACGCTAAAGTTATTGGCATACTCAGCATTTCATCATTTTATAAAATAAAAATAGGCAGTCGCGTAAGAAATATTCGATACGGGATTGACGGCGGCAGCAACGGCATCGACGACGATGGTGGTTGTGAAGATATTCTGATGTGTTGTGCGGTATTGTGTTGTTTCATCTTTTAGAGGTAAAATAAATACTATTTTTCTCTGTTCATGCGAATGGTTATAGGTAAACCTTTAGCGAGCATGATCACAAATAAATTTTATCAACATGAATTCGCTTAGGTGGATGCAAACACTATGTCACAGTGATTCT